TTCCTCCCCTTTTTTTTTCTTTTGGTTGTATTTCAACGATAAAAAAAAAAGAAAGCCACTATTTCGTCTCTGCTTTATGACTCTATTGTGGTTTTTCATATTTGCGGATTACATTTTGCGCTGGTGTTTCTGGTGCCGGTGATCCGGGGAACAGGACAATCGGTGTAGCTTGATGGAAGGGACCAGTATGTCGGCGCTGAAGGTCCATTATGTTACCGCGATCCCTCGCAAAATCAACGTCAAAACATATCCCACGCAATCCTACATAACGTGAACCCTTCATTTTCAACGCTTAAGCGCGTACGCCTCTCAATTTTCCGATATCGTTCGTATCGTTTCTCGTTTAAATTTAACGCAACAATAATTTGTATAAATTTCTATGAATATTCTCTCCTTGCATTGTATAAATGTTGTAAACACTGTATTTAGAACTATACCGAGGAGAAGCGATATTCTCTCAGTCGAAAGAGCGAAGAGCAAAATTTGAACGAAATGGGGAAAAGTGTCAGTGCACGAAGAGACTAAATTTTTCGGAATAAATGATATCTGTACGTTTAGAAAAGCGGTTAAAGGAAAAAAATCCACGAGACAAAATTCGCGAGGCGTGTCTATTTTTACGGTCCAGATGAAGAGTTAGGGGATGTGGTGACTGGGTTTCGTGGCATGGGGTTTCGAGACCCTGGATTACGGTCGCTGGGTAGACCCGATGAGATTTTATCCAAATGATATTCATGGCAGCGGGCATTCCGTTACGAAAGCAATAAGATCGAGCCTGCCCGATAAGACGAAGTATCTATTATCACTGACTAAACTACTGGCGATAGACTTTCAAGATACCAAGACTTCGAATGTTTCTCAATTTCTTACTTTACCCCTTGTTGAATTTAATTTAAAAAAAAAAAAAAAAAAAAAAAAAAAAAGAAAAATATTATGAGAAAATTCCGACGAGTATTTTGCTTTCGATAGCAAAGATAACACTATGACAAGCAAGGGGTGATCGTTTGTGTCAACAGACGAGCGATCGAAAGGGTTTCCATGGATTGCATAGCGGTGGATCGGACGTGTCTTGTGGAATTCATAATACCGCATTGGTGAAGAACGAGTGTTGCTCGTTGCAATATGGCACGATCATACACCAACCCCGTGGCCGAATGTAATTAGTTTTTAGCCCCAAAGCTATGATAGGGGGCTGGACTAGGCGCTTAGGGTCCCATGGATTTTTCCATGTGCACACGCTCGTTCCTAGCGCCCGATCTAACGCCGGAGGGTGATTGTGTGCCGAGGGGTGGTTTCAGTTTGCTCGAGGCACCCTTGGCAAGTGCATCTATTGTCTGAGTGCAAGAACCCAAAAATACGCTTATCTGTTTCATTGACGGGCCGAGTCGAACTTCCTGATTTCTCTCAACGCCTCCGGCGTTGACGAGCTTTCACGCTCTTTCGCTTTTCCTCTTTGGATTACTTGGTGCTCTTTACTTGGCCTCAGTTTCTAGAAACGAAGCGAAGCGACTTTCGAAGGAGAATGTTGAACGTCCAGTGATAGTTAGTCAAGTGAAGATTGACAAGTGATGCAAATACGGTGACGATTCTGTAACGATTTGCTGGGAATGATTAGAAATGGAAAAGTGTCGGCAGAATTTCCGTTTCGACACGGCTATCAAATAGACGTAAATTCTTTCCTACCAATTATTTGCTCGCTTCGTCGCTTATTCTTGTTGTGTTGAACGTGTAATAATTTAGAAAAAGGGAAAGATCGTAATGGCTATTCAAATATCGCACAATTTACCTTCGCGCGTGTTCTCATCGAGAATAAGGTTACCCAAGCGTCGACAAAACTTCCGCTTCGACACGGATATAAAATAGCCAATACGTTATCATGTCGTCTAAGAGGAGAACGTTCCACGTGGATTGGGATTCTCCCAGTCACGAGACAGGCACCGTGAAAAGAAGGCCCACGTCACTGAACACGCCAGTTTCTATATCGAGCAATACCTTCGAGAACGTAGAGTATTACGAAGTAAAAGATTGTGCCGGTGGTTACGGGCTGAAGCTTCTGAAATCGTTCGATAGCCGATTGCTGGGATATGAGAACGTCGTCCCGGAATTCCTCGCGAGTAAGCGCAGATCAAACGAGATGGAAGATCCCGCCATTAAAGATAATGGAAACGGTTTAGAGCACCCTCGCTCTTGCGCGACCCCCCGTGAAGAGGATATACGCGGAAAGAGCGAGGACGCTAAAAAATTTAAAGATCTGTCGTCTAGCGTAGGTTCTCTCAACGAGGAACGAAATTTAGCTGGCAGCTCGGACGAGAAAGTATTTCTCACCTTCTGTAATTCAATTGCAAAGCACTCGGACGAAGGCACGGAAAAAGTCGAACGCGAGTTTCACGAATCTCACAAAGAAGACAGCACTGGCAAAACTGAGACAACCAGACTGAAGAATTCGACTAATTTATCATTCGAATTGACGACAAACGACGATAAATTCCGCTGGATGGATAGCTTAAAATTTAATGCGAGGAAAGATTTCGGCCTGAGATTGTATCGAGAATCCTTCGAATGGAGATCAAAGGCATCGAGAGTTATGAGAGTTGCCGGTGCTACGAGGAAGTTGGACACGACGAAGGGGAAAAGTTTGATTCCAAAACCAAAGGCGAAGAAGTACGCCTCGAACGGGCGGGGTCTCGTGAATTCTAGTTCGGAGAGTTCAGGCATCGGTTCGCCCCTGTCTCCTCTATCGCCGTTGAAGGATACGTCGACGAACGTGAAGGACGTATCGGCAGGTTCGATCAAGAACAGCGGCAGCAAAAGTTCCGGATTCGGATCGCCGGATTCACCGTTGTCTCCGGAGAGTCAGAAGTACACTGCGTTCTACTTAATCGAGGTGCAGTTGGAAAAGTTGCGGAACTGTACCTGCGAGAAACGACAAGCTCAGGTATGCATCTACAACAATTGTTCACGATTCACACGCCAAACTGAACTGAAATATCGTTCATTGACACATTTTGCAATTAGAAACCGAGTAAATTCTAGTTTAGTCAGTTCAATCATACATACCACGAAATGAGAATCTACGAATGTTTAGTCGGTTCTGACATCACGAAAAATTGGGAAGGTCTAGTAGTACTTGCATAGAAAGCAATAAATCTTATGAGTCACTGGGGGTAGGAGCAAGTCCCGTGGGTGTGTAACCACGTGGTGCAAAGGAATTACGTTCCACCCTCTTCTTTCGATGATACGTTTCTGCGCAAAGCACGGCGAC